GGAAAGGCTTACATATGTCATTTTGTTATTTTTCTTCTGTAGTATTATAATTTTTTGTTCCTCATTTTCTCCATTGCCGTTTTCTATTGTGTTCAGTTAAATGTTTATAATGATTTGCTTTTATTCTTTCTTATTTTATTTTCTGCATATCTGTGGTTAGCATGGGGATTACATTTGACATTTTAAAGCTATAAAAATCTAATTTGAATTGATACCAACTTAACTTCAATTGCACACACAAAGTCTGCTCCTATACTTCTATGTCCCTCCCATTTTATGTTATTAATGTCACAAATTACATATTTAAACATCATGTATACACTATATAAATTATAAATATTTTCATGTATTTATCTTTTAAAAGCTATAGAAATAAAAAATGGAGTTACAAACAAAATTACATTAATACTTATATTTTATTTGCCATTTATTTAACTTTCTCAGCTCTTTATATCATCATATGCTTCAAGTTACTGTCTAGCACTCTTTTCTTTCAACCTGAGGGATTCCTTTTAGCATTTCTTGTAAGACAGGTTTAGTGGTAATGAATTCCCTCAGCTTTTGTTCATTTGCCAATGACTTATCTCCCTCAAGCTTAAAGAATAGTTTTGTTGTATGTATAATTCTCAGTTGACATCTTTTTCTCCTTTCTTGATATATATAATCAAGCTTGATTATATAATCAAGTATAATAATCAAGCTTGATTATATATAATCTCATTATGGTTTTGATTTGTATTTCCCTGATTAGAGGTGTTGAGCATTTTTTCATATGTTTGTCAGCCATTAGTTATTTTCTTTTGAGAACTTCTGTTCATGTCCTTTGCCCACTTTTTGATGGGGTTGTTTGATTTTTTTTTCTTGCTGATTTTCCTGAGTTCTAAATAGATTCTAGTTGTCAGCCCTTTATCCAATGTGTAACATGTGGATATTTTCTCCCATTCTGTAGGTTGTCTGCTCTCATGATAGTTTCTTTAGCTGTGCAGAAGCTTTTTAATTTGATTAGGTCCCGTTTATTTATTTTTGTTGGTGGTGTGATTGTCATTGGGGTCTTCTTCATAAATTCTTTGCCTAGGCCAATGTCTATAAGAGTTTTCCCAAGATTTTCTTCTAGAATTCTTAGTTTCACGGCTTAGGTTTAAGTCTGTTATCTACCGTGAGTTGATTTTTGTGAGAGGTGAAATGTGTGGATCCTGTTTCAGTCTTCTACATGTGGCTATCCAGTTTCCCCAGCACCATTTATAATCACCATAGGAATTCTTTTCCCCAGTGTATGTTTTTGTCTTTCTTTTTGTAAGATCAGAAGGCAATATGATAATGGTTTTATATCTGGGTTCTCTGTTCTGATTGGTCTAGATCTCTGTTCTCATGCCAATACCATGGTGTTTTGGTCATGATAGCCTTGTAGTATAGCTGAAGTCTCATAAAGTGATGCCTTCTGATTTGTTCTTTTTGCTTAAGGTTGCTTTGGTTCTTCAGAGTCTTTTCTGGTTCCAAAGGAAGTGTAGAATTATTTTCTCTAGATCTGTAAAAAATCACGTTGATACTTTAATGGTTATTCCATTAAATATGTAAATTATTTTCAGTAGTATAGACATTTTAACAATGTTGGTTCTGTGGATCCATGAGCATGATATGTTTTTCCACTTGTTTACATCCTCTGTAATTTCCTTCCTCAGTGCTTCATAGTTCTCCCTAAAGCGGTCTTTTACTTACTTGTTTAAATGTACTTGAGTCTCTGTTAGTATTGGATTTTCTATTTCTCAGCTCAATTCTGTCATGTTTTACTTTGTGTAACTTTCTGGCTTTGTTCTTGGATGCATATATGTTTATAATTTTTATATTTTTTGATAGCTATCCCAGCTCTCTTATTATTGCTGTTTTCATGGTATATCTTTTCAATTCTTTAACTTTCAAATGATTTGTATCTTTAAAATCATAGTGTGTCTGCTGCGATCACATTTAAATATTATAGTTTTATGCTAACCTTTTCTGTCAACAATTACTGTCATTAATTTATCGATAATGGAATTAAACTTTGTAGTCTCTTTTTATGTTTTATATTTTCAAGTTTTCATAATGAATATGTCATATGATTTGTATAGTAATAAAATAACATTTAAAAACTAATATGTTGGTAATTTGAACAATTTCTTGCCTCACTATATTGGATTTTAAATGAAAGAATAACAATCATTAAATGCTAAGCAATGTATATGTATATTTAAAAAGTAATTATATTTTACAGTATGATCATATGGGTTCTGATACTGCCGTTGTCACTCAAAAAGTTTTCCAGTTGATTGGATTGACGAATGCTGTAAGTATTTGCTTCTTAGTACATTTGCACTTCCTGTGTTACTGAAACAATTTCTGCACATTCTTGTATGACATGCTTGAATGTACATGTTGTGTGATCCAGAGACAGTTAAGTTTAACTTCCGGTTTTTTATCTGTAAAGGAGGAATAATAATAATTGTATATATGTCATTAGGCTACTATAAAGATTTAATTGTGTAAAACACTTGGCATGGGGCTTGTGTTAAGTATAAGCATTTTAAAATGCCAACCATTGCTTGTATTATTAGTAGCATTTATTAAGTATTAGTATACTTTAAAAGATCCAATCTACACTTATGGTTCAGTGTAATATTTTTCATAAGTTTATTTTCATTCGTAAATATTAAACCTATAAACTGTGATATTTGAACATGTTTTCTGTATGTTTCCTATTTTAGATTTTTACTTCATTTAATACTACAGTTATTCTGTCTTCCTTGGAACTTTGGACAGATGAAAATAAAATTCTAACCACCGGAGATGCTAATGAGTTATTACACAGATTTTTAAAATGGAAAAGATCTTATCTTGTTTTGCGTCCTCATGATGTGGCATTTTTACTTACGTAAGCATATCCTGGCATTCTAAAGCTTAAAAAATAAATCATATCCAATTGGATACAATTTTTGACAGTTGACAGGCCTTCAGGGGGAAAAAAATCTTTTGTCATTTTTTTCTGACATACATAATATAAATATTATTTTTTACGGAACAGTTTAATTATTAGAATTATTGATATCACTTTATTGGTTTGTAGTTAAAACTCACTCCTTCAATCTTGTACCATATTCCTTCCTACCGTAGAGTGTATATGACAACATTAAATGTCTCTAACTATGAGTAAAATATTAATGATGCTTTTTTGAAGAAATAGGCTGGGCGCGGTGGCTCACGCCTGTAATCCTAGCACTCTGGGAGGCTGAGGCGGGAGGATTGCTTGAGGTCAGGAGTTCAAGATGAGAAATATATTTGAATTGTATAAATATGGTAATTTAACGTTTGTCTTATGCTTTGTTGTCATATAGTAAAAATAAAACAAAACAAATAAATGGAAACACTATTGCGTATTTTAATACCTCTAACATAATGTAGCCACACTGTGCTTAAGATTTTAGAAGGTTAGCCTCCTTTTTTATTTATATAGACTCTTTGTTTTCCTCTTACCAATATTCACACTCACTAAAATTGTATATAGATAATTTTTAACATTTTAATCTTTTTTTTAATTCTCTATCCCATAAATATGCCATATCTTTGCATGGCTTTAGCAAGCTAATTTTTGCTGATTAAGTGGAGACTTTAGGGTGTCTCTGTGCATTGATATGCTACATTGCCTTAGCTTTTGAATTTTAAGGGATTTAATGTATTTTTATAATTTTTATTTCAGGCGATTTACTTATTTTAGTTTTAGGGAAAAATACTACATAAAGTGAATCTTTATTATGTTACAGAAATCTGTATGAAAATATGCGTTCTATTATTTGTTTTTTAAATCTACTTTATTGTTTTCAAAAGAAGCTACGTTACACTAATGTTAGGTGGAAATACTTGTTAGTTTGATAATAAATGTACAAAACAAAAATTTGTCCAAAAATCAGTACTAATTGTGCTTACTTTTAGAAAATTACATGATTATGATTCCTTTTTAAATTTAAGTTACAGAGAAAAATCAAATTATGTTGGTGCAACCTTTCAAGGGAAGATGTGTGACAGAAACTATGGAGGAGGTATTGTTATGGTATGATACGGTTTAATTTCCTTGGCTAAAATACATAGAACACCAAATAGATTAATATATGGCTAAAAATTTTCTTATTTATTTCCGGGTATATTAAAATTGCATTATTGTAGCGATCTTTGTCCTTGCTACTGAAAGAAATGTTTAAACTATAAGAAGTTCTCATGGAGCTCTTCTGCATATACAATTTTTACTTTGGGAAACTTCCTGAGCTCCTTCACGATAGACCAGATGGCTCATAGACAGCATCAATTCATTCCTCACTGTTCTGGGGGCTGGAAAGTCCAGGAGCAAGGCGACAGCCGAGCCAGTGTTTGGTGAGCGCTTGCTTCCTGGTTCTCAGGCGGCCTCTCTTCACCAGGTCCCCACGTGTTGGCGTCGGAGAGACTTGGCTCGCTCAGGACTCACACGGCTCTTCCTTGGTGGCCTCCTTTGATTCTATTTACTTCCCCAAATCCCCGCTTCCTAATACAGCAGCCTTTCCTTATCTGTGGTTTTTGCCTTCTGCTGTTACAGTTACCTGAGGTCAACCACCATCTAAAAATATTAAATAGAAAATTTCAGAAATAAACCTTCCATGCTGTTTGGGGATGCATGCTGTTTGTAGCAGCTGGATAAAATCTTGCGCCCTCCTGCTCTGTTCCACCCTTGTCCAGCACATCCACACTGTTACTTGCTACCTGCCTTTAGTCGCTCAGTAGCTGCCTTGATTAACAGAGTGACTGTCACAGTGTTACAGTGCTTGCGTCCAAGTCACCCGTATTTTAAATAACAGTGGCCCCAAAGCACAAAAGTGGTGATGCTGGCCATTCAGATAAGATAAAGAGAAGCCCCAAATTGCTTCCTTTAAGTAAAAAGGTGAAAGTTCTCAATAAGAAAAGAAAAAAAAAATCATATGCTGAGGTTGCTAATATCTATAGTAAAATATAATATTTTGAGAGACAGACCACGTTTATGTAGTATGTATTATATTACATTGTTATCATTGCTCTATTATTAATTATTATTGTTAATATCATACCATGCGTAATTTATAAATTAAACTTTATCATAGGTATGTGTGCATAGGAAAAAAACACAGTATCTATAGGGTTCAGCATCATCCAGTTTTAGACATCCAATGGAAGTCTTGGAATATATCTCCTACAGACAGGGAGAGCTACTGCACCATCACACTGGGGGGGGGGGTAAGATTTCAAAGTATGAATTTGAAGGGACACAAACATTCACCCCACAATAGGCTGCTATAACCAGATACCATAGACTGGGTCACTTACACAACAGAAATTTATTTTCTCTTAGATCTGGTACCTGAAGGTTCAAGATCAGGGTGCCAACAGGGTCAGGTTCTGGTAAGAGTTCTGTCACTGGGTTGTAGACGGCTGCCTTCTCATAAGATCACAGTCCAGTTGAATGAGGGACCCACCTGAACCTTATGGCCTCATTTCACCTCAGTTACCTGCTAAAGACCCCATCTCCAGATATAGTCACATCAGGAGTTAGAGCATCAGTATATGAAATTGGAGGGGGAGGCACAATTTATTCCATGGCAGTAGACCTAAGGGAAGATGTGTTACGAGAATTAGAGGTTCTTAATTTAATTATGATAAAAGGAATGAAACAACTGTGGAAAGTCAGGATTCTTATTAACAGTCATTATCACCATAATATTAATTAATTTGGTGGGTTAATTTTATCAGTTTAAAACAAGATTTATGACATGGTCAGGTAAAATATCATCTCTAAAGAATCAAATTAAAAATTAACAAAAGCTGTTCATAATTTGATACTACATGTGTCTCTGTGCTTTTCTTTAAAGATTGCCTTGTGAAAGTACAGTTGTGACTATAGCTGTTGCTATGTATAGTTAACAAGTTATGGGTGCAGCTTTTTGCCTGGTCTGATGCCACCAAATGAGTCATCCATTTACATTTTGGTGATGTTTCAGATTTCATATTTTCCTTATATTTATGCTAGTTGTAACATGTGAGTTAGGCCAACATGTATGACATTTGTGTGCATAACCTATTATAAGATATGTCTATTCCATTCTATCATGTGACTATTTTTAATATTAATAATTACATCATTCTCCCAGTAAATAAAATACCTCCCTAAACAGTGTGCATGTGCATTTATCTTTCCTTTTTCTTTTTTTTTTTTTCAGCACCCCAGAGCCATAAGTATGGAATCGCTTGCAGTTATTTTAGCTCAATTACTGTCCCTTAGTATGGGGATTACTTACGATGACACTAACAAATGCCAGTGCTCAGGAACTATCTGCATAATGAACCCAGAAGCAATGTAAGATGCTTGACTTTTATACTTCACATATATAGTTTAAGATGCTTTTGGCATATTTCGTTTAAGAAAGTTTAAGCTGTCAAAATAAATAGTGATGGTTGAATATCAGCTGTGATTGATGACCCCAGACCAAAATATATATTCCAGTGGCCACATTGCATATCTGTCTCAATATCTCTTTTCATCAGGTGTCACACTTGCTTTCTCCTATGGGATCTAACTATACATTTATCACCTGTGTGATTTTATAACGATGCGTGACTTGATATGCCAATACGGGCTTGTGGTCACTACACGAGGAATATTAATTGATATGAACTAGCCTGCGTGAGTCTCTTTCACCTTGCCCGGGCTCAGCCTGAGGTCTTGCCTTCTGTTGATTTCACAGACACTGTTGTTCAGCTTTTGTTTTGTCACGAGAAAAGGCTTTTTATAGTATCCTTATCATGCCCCGAAGGTCTAGTGAATTTGTTTGCTGTTTTCATCATTATTCTTAGAGTACATTATGAAATTTTGTAGAAATGGGACCAAATAGCCAGGGGTTTAAGGGAAACCACCCAGTCAGTGACTGGATCCAGCCTCTTACCTTTCTGATTGATAGTTCTTTGGGGGTGTCTTCTGCTTCTCACATGTCTTAGAAGGGAATCAAGCCCAATCGCCAGCAGCAGCAAATGTCTCCCTCTCTTTATCCCTTTCAATATTCCTTAATTGCTTCACACCAAGTCAACTGCTTGAAAATATTTGTCCTTAGCTTCTTAGGCTCTGATCCAAGGAGGGACCTGTACTAAAATAGTTACCCCAGACTGTCTTTAGAGAACAAATCTTTATGAAATTATTGTGGAACTGGATCAACAAATGAAGCCATGGCCACAAGAACACCTTTGACAGAAGACGCTGCAAAGAGTATGCAGTACAGCAGGTCCAGACTGTGGTGCAAGGTGCCTCATTTGTTGATTCTTGTGATCGTTAAAACATGATGAAGCTAAAGACATTCCTGGTCGATTAGGTCCATGTGGAACTCTGGCAAGTATCAATGGGAGATTTGCAGTGCAGGCCTTTAGCTGCTGCACTGCAGTGGGCAATTTTTATCATAGTGCGGGTGTTTTCAGATCTACAGAATTCCAAGGTGGAGTGAACATACCCATCTGTCTGAGGACACCAGTGGTTCCTCTGGGAATAGGCTGGGGAAGGTCCAGATAGCACAAACAAATAACAGGAACAGGAGTCCGAGATCCCCATGGCACCTACATCTGTTTGTCCAATATTTCTCAATTGCTTCACACACAATGGCCTCACAGGGGTATTCTAAAACTGGTCGGTAAAGGAAGAAAAACCCCCAGTCTCGTGTCAATGTTAGGTGGAGTATTAAAAAATTCAGTATCTCATGCTGTTGTACAGTTACATTTAGACTAAAGAACAGTGGGGGACGGCAAAGATCCCCGGGAGCGTGTTTGCAAACAATGTGTTTGGCTCTCTGCTGCGTGGTAGGGACGTGCAAGGGATAGAAATCCACCCAGACTCCTATATGCTGTGGCAGGTGGCATGGGTATTTGGTCAAGGATCTACGTGCTGTAAAATTGGACGCAGAGACAAGACAGTGTGAGGAAGAAGCATGTGGGTTTATTTGGAGTGGCATGAAGAATTCAGGTGTTTATGTGGGTATTTTGTGTTCAAGTACCACTCGAAATATTGTCTTCAGGGGAGACCCTCAGTGATCTGGTCAACAATCTGGCATGCAGGAAAAGCCAACCCAATTCCTCCCTAGACCGCCCACAAAACAAGCCCTGAGAGGAAGGGTATGTCCTTCCACAGGGGCGGCCTTCAAACACTTCAAGAAAACACCAACCTTCCTACTATCTAGGGACAATTCTGTTGAAGAGTCTGTATACTTCTCTGTGGCCCCAGGACAAAAAAAATAAAAGCAATCATTGCCATCTACACACTTACGGACCTCTCCTCTCTTCATCCATCCTGAGTCCCTTATTCCTGCTTCCTGGGGTCACATCCCAGATGAAATTCTTGTGATCAAGTTCATGACTTAGATTGTTTTCCTAGTTGATCTAAACAAAGACAGGTGTCACCATATAGTTTGTATTACTAATGTTGACACCTCTCATTACACCTTTGTTTATCGTTGGCCAAAAGATAGTTGTTTACAATGATATAGATGATATATTGTTTGTGATGCTTGATTATAATAATTATAGTAGTTGTAATGGTGAAGAAATGAGAAGAAGGATTAGAAGATCTTACATTTATTAATAGAAGGTAACTTGAACCCTCCACATCCTTCTGAAGATTGCCAAGTTATTTTCTGTTCAATTTTGAAGCCAGGTTTTATTTTGCTCGGATCCCTGATGAATTATTCCCATCATGGGTAGAACCCTTCAAAATGCAGTGATTCCTCATTTTTTTTCCCCTTTTGGGAAGGTATCAAGTGTAAACAGGTTATTCCTAACTCTTTTATAATTGCAACTTGTTTATAAGACTATGAAATTTCCAATTATTTGGAGCAAGTATATATGCATGGTATTGATTATTTTTTTACTGAGTTTGTATCCTGTGATTTTAGCTTTGCTAAATATGTATGAGTTCTGGAACTTTTAATTTAGTTTTATTAGGATTTTATTGACATGCAATTATATATTATAAGTACAGTTCTACATCTTTCTTTTCAAACATCTTTATATTTTTAAAATTTCTTTTTCTTGCCTTATTACAGTACTTAGGATGTCCAATACCATGTAAAATAGAAGTCAGACGTGTAGCTGTCTTTCTTTACTCTGATTTAAGGGAAAGATCTTTATTTACTCTTTCACCAATAAATATGTTAATTGAAAGTTTTTCATAGGGGCTTTTCATCAAATTGTATCCCTTATATGCCAAAATTTTCATCATGAATAGATTTTACCCAATATTAACATTATCATGTGCTTTTTCTACTTTATTCTGTGGGTATGTTGAAGTACATTTTACTGAATTTGGAAATATTAAGAGTACAAATTGGCCGGGTGTGGTAATCCTAGCACTCTGGGAGGCCAAGGCAAAAGGATGGCTCAAAGTCAGGAGTTCGAAACCAGCATGAGTGAGACCCTGTCTCTACTAAAAATAGAAAGAGATTAATTGGCCAAATAAAAATATATAGAAAAAATTAGCCAGGCATGGTGGCGGATGCCTGTAGTCCCAGCAACTTGGGAGGCTGAGGCAGGAGGATCGCTTGAGCCCAGGAGTCTGAGGTTGCTGTGAGCTAGGCTGATGCCATGGCACTCCACCCCATGTCTCAGAAAAAAAAAAAAAAAAAAAAGAAAGAAAGAAGAAAAAAAAGAGTACAAACTAAGGAGAGGCATAGTATTATACTCTTGTGACTCTATGAGATAAATAATACTTTTATCCCCATTTTGCAGAGGAAACTGAAGTGTATATATAATTTCAGTACCTTTGATAAGGACATACAACTTGTAAATGGCAAAACCAAGATTTTTAACCCACGTTATTTGACTGTTCACAGAATCCACATTCTAAAACATCGCCTTATGCTTTGGGAGGGGCAGGTTTGGTGGAGAGGGGTCCTGAATTCAGGGAATTTAAATGTAAGGTGCCTGTGAAATAGGCTTAAGAAGAAACACTGAGTGAAGCACCAGACATTGTGCTCTGCAGTTTAGGCGATAAGTTTGAGTTAGAGAAACAAATACCTGAGATGTCAAGTGTAGGTGTTATTTGAAACCACAGAACTTGATGGATTACCTATTAATAAATATAAAGAAGGGAAAATCCTGGTTTCTTTTGTTAATACTGTGGTATTCCAACATTTGGAAGTTATAAAAGAGAAAAAAAGCAATAAAGAGAGATGGAGCACTTGAGGGGAAAAAAAAAAAGCCAAAATCAGAGAGAGCATTGTCACAAATAAGTATCATAATAAGAGCTTATAAAGCTTCATAGATCAGTAACTCAATCCTACTAAAATACGTAAACTCTTGCACAGTTGATTTTTTCCATGCATAGAAAATGAAAGGTTTTTTTTGGCACTAACAAAATTGGGATTTGGCCTTTTGTGGAACACTATTACATAGCTTTACTCTAAGGGTAGGAAGTTTACAGAAACTCACATAAAAATGTGAAGTTTGATGTATTTTTAGTCATTTCAGTGGTGTGAAGATGTTTAGTAACTGCAGCATGGAAGACTTTGCACATTTTATTTCAAAGCAGAAATCCCAATGTCTTCAAAACCAACCTCGCTTAGATCCGTCGTACAAGCAGGATGCAGTTTGTGGCAATGAGAAGGTGGAACCTGGAGAGGACTGTGACTGTGGGGATGCGGAGGTGGGTACTGATTTGGAGGCATATGTGCCGGAATTGCACTATAAATCCTTCATCAATTTTTATAGCATAACTCTGCCATTTTCCTTAATTCATCAAGCTAATTTTTCTGCAAAGGCCTTAGGAAGGCATATAGGGATTATTACAAACTAATGGGTGCATTCATGTATAGTGGTGAACGGATTCAGTGATCTGTAGCTCCACATGGATTTGTGCCATACACAGCTAATGTTATTTTCCTTATTCCAGCTTTATTGAGATACAGTTGAGAATTAAAAATTGTATATATTTATCTGCACATCACGACTCATGCCGGTAGTCCTAGCTGCCTGGGAGGCTGAGGCAGCAGGATCGCTTGGGATCAGGAGTTCAAGGTTGCAGTGAGCTATGTCCATTGTATTCTAGCCTGGGCGACAGAAGGAGACTGTCTCCAAAAAAGAAAAATAAAATCAATCAATAAATAAGTTGCAGTTTAGGTGATAAGTTTGAGTTAGAGAAACAGATACTTGAGATGTCAAGTGTAGGTGTTATTTGAAACCACAGAACTTGATGGATTACGGATTAATAAATATAAAGAAGGGAAAATCCTGGTTTCTCTTGTTAATACTGTGGTATGATTATACTTTGTTAATTATATTTTGTTATATTTATATAATATATATTATATGATTACATTTTGTTAATACTGTGGCACGATTCAAATGGCATGATTTCAAATAACATGATTTGGTATATGTATGCACTGTAAAATATTCACCTTATTCAAGCCAATTAACATATTTGTAATCTCACGTAGTTAGCATTTCTTTTCTTTTTTTCTTTTGGCCTGGTGAAAACACTTAGAATCTTCCCTCTTTCCAAATTTCAAGTGTGCACTGCATATTACTAGCTATGGTCATATTGTTGTGCATCAGGTCTCCAGAATTCATTCATCTTGCGGAAATGAATCTTTGTACTTCCTGACAATTATCTCCACCATTTTCCTCTTCCCACAGCTGCCAATAACCACCACCCTAATCTCTCATGCAAGTGACTTTCCAAGTTGCTCTTCCTTTTATCTGAGGTGACGTAGGTTCGCTCTCTTCCCCTTGAGTTTGTTTTCCCCTCGTATCCGAACCTAAAATTTGAGCCCAGTGCTTCACTTAAAATCCTCTTCCATTTAGAAAGACAGACATAAAATTTCACCGTGGAACAAGAAAACAAAGAGGCACATTTTGCGTCTTCAAAAATATTTTAATCTAGGTCCATATTTAAACCAAAATGGTTTGGAACATATGTAATCAAGCAATGCTAGTTTCTCTGAACCGCGGACATTTTAGAAAAAAGCAGCTGGGTTGAAAGTAGGTAAGAAGAGCAGAGATGAAGGGAATGAGATGGGGGAGAGAGAGGGTGTGTCCCCCCCAGTGAGGGGTAGGGGACCCAGGAGAAGGACCCGGGAGAAGCAAGGAGCCCGGATGGAATTCAGTGCTCCCTGTGGCAAGGCCTGCGGTCACTTGTGTGCTATTCCCAGCACAAAAAGTATATTTCTAGATACTTAAATGAGTGATATGTTTTTAAGAAATTATTCCCCATCACCCACTTGTTTTTGCTTGGTTGAATTTGAGTGGAAATATCTTGAATATTTCTGCTAAAATTTGACAGCAGTGCGCATCCATGCTCCATTAGATGTTTTGTCATTGAGTCAAATCAATCTGATATAACGTTCCCCTCTAGAATTCCATAAGTCAGCAATAGCAGTGACACTTACTGGACAGAATAGCTGTGGAAAATACTGAAAATTCTGTGTGTCCTAGTAATATCTTGCTATATAACTCATATTAAGACCACTGAAATATACTATTTATTTTAGTGCATCTTATTGAAATTTTTTTCCCCAATTAACCTTATTTCAAATTTCTAGGAATTTAAAACACGTGAATGTGTGTGTGTATTTGAATGTATTGTCTCTCCAACCTTGTACTTTCTTATCTGTTGCTTTTATTAACCCTAATAGTAGCATTTTTAAAAGCAGATTCACTGCACATAGATGAACTATAGCATAAAAACAGGACATAATAAAATGTAGGTGAATGACATAAAAGTGACAACTTCAGCCATGCTGAGAAATAATATCATTTCCACCTTTTTATTAGAGAATTTAAAAAGAAATAAACCTTCAATATCCCATAAAATGTAGAGACTTGTTAAAATATAGTAAATTCAGAAGGATTGAGTAGGAAGTGGTTACTACAATAAAATTTTTAAATTACAACTTCTGAATATTTTATGTCTTGTATTTAACTATCTCTTTTGTCTACAAGAACCAGAGCTCTTCTCAATCTGGTGGCGGATCCCAGGGCTTCAGAGAACCCTATTACCTATATAGCCCAAACTATAGAAATATTAAAAACACATGGTCTAACATTTAGTTAGGGAGTCAATAAATGTCTAAGTAAGTGAATGAATAAGTTGCTTTAATATATATATATTTTTTTATGTTTGGTAACATATATGTCAAGCATCTATGTGTATATTATATAACATGTTGTCACCACGAAAATGTCTGTCCAATGTAAATAGCAGTTGGAAAATGCTTCAGAACATTTTGTTTGCCTTTCAGACTTGTGCTAATGCTGCAGCACAGTGCTGTAATAGTGAAACCTGTCAATTTGCAGCCGGAGCAAATTGTGCTGAAGGGCCATGCTGCGAAAATTGTCGTGTAAGAGCCTTTTTTTAAAAAAAAAAAATTGCCATGTTGTCTGCATAAGTGATGCTTGCCACTGTCTGTAATACTTATATGCTCTCATTCTGCTTTCTACCATATTATTGACCTCACCTCGTCAGTACAAGGGCAAAAGTGAGGTATGCAGGTCTCCCCTGGATGAGTGTGATCTTGCTGAATATTGCAATGGGTCCTCTGCGGAGTGTCAACAAGACATATTTGTTCAGAACGGGCACCCATGTGAAGGAAACCGTTGGATCTGTATGAATGGAGAATGTGTGAGTGGGAGTGTACAGTGCAAGAAGACATTTAATGACGGTATTTATTACGATTTAATTTTTCATATGTGTGCTTTTCTGGAAACTGAAAAGAAATAGATGTTGACATATGGTTGTGACTTTTAAAATCATGTGGCTTTTAAATATTGTAAAGAATTATAGGAAGAGGAGTGCTGTAACTATATATATATATATAATATACTATAATATATATACTATACTGAATAATGTTCTAAATACCTTGAAATTAAAATTCTAATTATTTGCACAAATAATAAATGGAAAAGTTCAAAGCCTTTGGGACTTCTGAAGTTCAGAAGGAGAAGGTACTGACCACAACTACGTTCTCCTTCTCTCACCCCACATCCACAGTTTTGTTGGTAAATACAGGAAATATTAAATGTTAGATGTTAAAAGATATAAATATGAGCTGTCATATGAATGTGATTTTAACTATCCATGGCAGAAACAGGCACACACATGCATGCATTCCTATGTAGTACTATGATGAGGACTTATGAAAATACAGGGATCTATAAAATTATTTAGAGATCATGTGCACTTAAGTTGAAAACAAAAAGAAAAACCATGGTACAACATATATATGAATCGTATTGCTGAACAGTATGGAAACTGCAATATGGCAATAGTATTTCATGCCTATATGGAAGAATCAAGAGCAATTGATAAAGGAAATATTAAGGATATTCATAGAAACAGCCAGGCAGGTCAATAGTTTTTTTCTCAACTCGTACAGGTAGCAAGTTCAATTCTAATTTCTTGTGTAAAAAGATTGTAGAGGATTGTCAATTTCCAAAATGAACATACAATCAAGAATAATGGTTGGTTTGAAGAAAGCAAAACAAAGATACCAGAAAAGAAAAGAAAAGAAGAACTTACAAAACAAAAGTGCTGTCCTGAGGAAGTAGGTGATTTGGATCACATAATTTGTAAATGGAGGAAGGAAGAAGGAAGGAAGGAAGGAAGGAAGAAGGAAGGAAGGAGGGAGGGAGGAGGAGGGAGGAGGGAGGGAGGGAGGGAGGGAAGGGAGGAGGGAAGAGAAAGAAAACAGATTTTTAATTACTGTTTCAATTTCCTCACTCAATTATATTTGTTCAAGCATTTCTATTTCTTCATATTTAATCTTTGTAGTTCTTTGGTGTTTTTACACTGGTGGGTATTTACTGTTTTGTTCCATGTATAGTGCACTTTTAAGCGTTCCTGTAGGCAGGTCTAGAAGTGACAAATTCCCGTTAGTGTTGCTTGTCTGGAAAGTCTTTATTTCTCCATCACTTATGAAACAGTTTTGCAGGTTACAAGACTATTTTTGCTGGCAGTCTTCTGCTTAAGAAGCTGACAATGGGTCCACATCCCTTCTTGATATTAAGATCTTGCTGAGAAGCCTGCCGTTATCCTGATTGTTTTCTTTGTAGGTTAGTTGATGCTTTCTTCTTTCTTTTC